AGGGTGTCTGTTTATTGCAATACTGCTTTGGAGAAACTCTTGGATTTGCGTTTGGGATTTACCATCGCTAATTTCTGCAACTTCAATATTCTACTGTGAGACAGGTTGCGTCAGCAGCCTCAGGTATTTGTTGGAGAATAGTAAGTACAGTGTATTGTAGATTTAAATTCATGATTACTACTAGTAACTTCTTCTAAGGACGGCTGCGGCCTTGAAACTTGAAAGCGTCCGAATGTCTTAGAGTCGTATCATCGTCTAACAAATTTTCTGGTCCACGGTGACGTTTCCTGGTTGTCCTATCTAACAAATTTTTAATGGGAATCAAAGATAAATTTTTTAGTAATAATCCACCGAATTTGCTTGGTGGACTCTAAGACTCTCTCACAATTGTTTGAAAATAGAATCTAGAAACCTCTCTCACAATTGGCATGCAGGATTCTATTGATCGTACGACATTATCTTAAAGTTCTCAACCAGTTTCATTATCATTTTTTTTTCTGTAATATATACATATATATATATTACTCACAGGATCTTATCACCACCACGAAAGCGAAAGCGAAAGGGAGAGTGGAATCCACTTTGCAGTGAGTGCTAATCCTGATTCGTCCAACCCATCACCCTTTTTGTTTTAGCCTTTAGGCGTAAAAAAAAATTTTTTTTTTTTTTTGGGGGTAAAGAAAAGAAAGATGAACCTTTTGTTTTGCTTTTTTTTTTTTTTTCCCCCTCAATGAACATATATAGTGGGAGTGGGAGAGACACATACACATAATAGATGGAGGACTATTTCACTGGGCTGTCGGAATCTTAATTAATAAATCATTAGAATGTTTTTGTCTGCTAGTAAACGAAAAGGCGAAATTTGAGTGCCATCAGAACGCAGGATCCCAAGTGCCCAAAAAGAAAGGAAAAAAAAAAAAAAGAGAGTCTTCCTGATTATTATCTAAGAATGGAATATGTATGGAAATACTGACTGGATTATCTCCACGAAATAGTAATAATGAATGATTAGGGTGTAAATAATGGCAGAGGTTGGAGATAATTACATAATAATAAAAACCCTAATAATAATTATAAGCTGACGTTACGTTAGCTAAGTAGCTGTAATCTAGATATGCATCTCTGCCTCAAACTTTTTCCTCCTCTATATCTATATATCTAATCGAAAAGGTCTCCACACAAACAGAGCCCATTTATTAGTGGTGGGGTGCTCTGCCAACATTTATTAGAGGAGGTCTGTGTGATGTGGACTGCAAAATCCAGCGGAAGCCAGAAAGAAAGATCACCTTTTGCTTTTTCTTTTCTTCAACTTCTCTACGTCCACGTGCATTCATTTCATCGTACGTGCACTTGCCACCTCGCCAAGGAATTCCACTTGTAGCAGCCCCGGAGGCCGACGCGACACGTATAGCAGCCACATCACCCCGGCCCACAATTTTGTTCCGTTGCCGTGCATTCTTCTCTCTCTCTCTCTCAACATGTCTGTAGTGTACTTGAGAAAATATCATCAGCATCGTCTGATGATGCTTTTATTTTGTCACATACTGCTGCTATGGGGGGATATATTCTGGAGTTCAAGGTAGTCCTGTCCTGTCCCGCTAGCAATAGTAGGTTGAACCAGTACCGATGATCTTACTGTGACAACAGGAATGGCACTGAATGATAAAGAGAGAGGAGGGCCAGTTTGAAGTCAGCCCAGCTGTTAACGAGTTCAGGTCCACTCCTTCCTTCAGCAAACTTAGGGTAGAAGAAAGTGGGCAGGATGGCTATTACAGGAATTCACTAATGACATTTCTTTCGGTGGGCATGTATGTATATAGGTTGCAAATGGCTTTTCTTCGAATCTACTTACATCATATACAGTAATTACAAGTCTAATCCAAGATTGTCCAAATTCTCCACCCAGACAAAATTAAGCTTATGATTTATAATTATTATATCTCTATGAAGAAAGTATTTTTATTTACCTGTAGTACTTAGCAAATTGTCCCACCTAACTTTGGTTGACTCTCCGGCCAAATATAGGCTTAAATACGGCTTCAAACTTCAAATAAAAAAGATCAGACTTGTTACTGAAGATAGAAGAAGATTTGTTAATCTTGACCTCAACTCGAGTATTTGTCTCAAAACCCTCAATCATGCATACGTACAGATGACGCCAAACATACTGCCCTGTAACAAAGTAGCTCTTGGTTTTAGCCATCAAGTTTCATGCGCGTTTCAAGGTGTCATGTGTTTCCTCTTTCGAGTCTTGCCATAACTCATGAATGCAGATTTCGAGAGCACAGGGGCAAGGAGCTTAGACGGTTTCGTAGTCTCCTTTTTAGGAGTAGGTGTCAGGTTCAACTTTTGGGTGCTTCCGTGCTGTGATCCTTGGGACAGGTTCTCACAGCTTGAAAGGAATAGTCTAGTCGATTAGGTGATTCTTATCAGATCAAAATACCTCTCAATCGACCAAAAAAAAAAAAAAAAAAGAGCGCAAGGGCAATGCATGCCACATGGACAAGAAGTTATGAATGCTAGTAGTATAATAATTTTTTGTCAGTCTGCTGAACCAAATATTTCATTTGCAGAAACTCCAGCGCACGAGCAATGGGGATCTGCTGCAGCATTGCAGTGGAAGTTTCTCCAGGAGGAAAGAGAGCGGGGACCAACCGACCTTTGTAACTAGTTCTGTAACCCCCTATTAGGCTGCGGTTACAGGATCGAGCCCAAGAGGAGCTGCCAAAATGGCTCGATCATCCCCATTGGCAAATGTGTTGGCGACCCCCGCACCTCTTTTTTTTTTTTTTTGCATTCTGAGGAGATACTGTAACAATTGAATAATCTACTCTGTCCTCCTAAATCACAGAGAAGAAGAAGTCTAAAAAGACTCGTATCAAAAACTAATACAGTAAAATACATGAACCTTCCTGGATCAAAAGGATGTTTGGTGCCCCGGACTTGATCCAGTAGATTTGGAGTAGTAGATGAAGAGAACAGTAATACTACTGCTACTGCTGCACTCGGAACAGTTGTGATACACTATTTCAATAAATACTCTAGCACTAGGAGTCGATTGACAAGACTACTCCTGCACAAAAAAGCAATTATTTCCCGCACTCAAAATTGCCTGCACTAGTATTCTTTTCTCTTGAATATATGCTGTTCAGCTATTAGTACGTAGTTAAGTAGGCTCACTTTCTTATCTCAATTGATGTAAAACTCTATCTCTGAAACATTTTATCTATATGCTTGATCTACTATGGCGACCATCAAATTAAAAAAATCTACTATGGGGATTATAAAGTTACTACTATGACAATTTATACAAGGGACAGTTCTTTATGCACAAAAATACAATTATTAAATAAATTTTTTTTGAACAGATGTCGAATAAATATTTGTTAGCACACCTAAATTATACATATGTAAATACACATAATTATAATCAATACACCCTTTACATTTAAATGCTTTTCTAAATAGATTATATATATCTTTTAACGTTTTGTCTAACGGATGCCTATAAAGCATTCATTACGATATATTTTAAGGTGTTATATTTTAAAAAATATAAAATTAATTAAAAAAATAAATAAATATAAGGATGGATAAACAAGATTAAATGTGAAAAGTATATAAATATAAGAAACGATAATACAATTGTTAGCATATATATATATATATATGATATGTTAATGAATATTCTAAAGACATCCGTTAAAAAAACTCATTTTTTTAAAAACTAACACTTGAAACCTTTCTTTAGACAGCCCGTTAGTCAAACCATTAAACCTAAGATGTGAATGTCATTTATGCATGCATTGCACCTTGCACTACATCAGCTCATCTCATAATTTCATTATTGTAAGCTTGTGAAGACTATTAGCAACCTGATATGCAGATATACTTCCTTTTCTCTTCTTCCTTTTCCTTCTCATCAATGTAATAAAATGTGTGGTGGGGGCGAAGATGAGTGGCAGTGAGTGAGCGCTCCAAACTCAGGAAATAAACTAGTCCTACGAAGTTAAAGAGGTAGAGAGAAATGAAAATATCTCATTGAGCCTACAGTACTGAACTGGTACCATTATAGCACAAACCATCCTTTTATAATTAATTTTAGCGCATAAAACAAAACTGCATGAAAGCTATATTTGATTGGCTGGTGCCTTGTAAGTCCATTTACCCGGTCACAGTGGTACGCAGTCCTCGCCCCTCGGCCCTCTCTCTCTCTCTCTCTCTGCTTGAATTGTACCGACATGGCTCCTACCAAATGGGGTTTCTGCAGCTGAACTCGAGATTTGCAACTGCTTCTGCTTCTACTTGGTCTGCTCTCTCCTCTCGCTTCTTTTTTTTTTTTAACCAACCCTTTTTAAAGAATATTCAGTTCTTGACTTAGCATCTTTCTTGGTGTTTCTGGTACTTGCTACTTGAGTGTATAAAATACACTTCATTCTCCCTGTCTGCGTTCCTTTCTTTTGATTTCATCTTTCTCAAGATTGCTAAGTTAGAAACGTAGGATTCTTGGTTCTCATCTGACCACCTTTCAAATTTTATTTTTTTCGATTTTTTCTGGTGGTTTTAAGCAGTACCATGTTCTTATAATTTGTCTTCTACTGTGCTTCTAGTATAATTCTTGTGTCTCTTTTTTTTTTTCTATATCAAGATCAATACTTAAAAAGTGCTTCCTCACGTCAATTGCCGTATTTACAATTTGAATGTGGGGAACCGTAGTATACTGTAGTTTGATTCCATCTTTTAAAACCCCTTTTTGTTTTTAATTCTTCAAGTATCGCTTCTTAGTTTTCTTAAATTTCCCTGAAGTCTCTTTTGATTTATTTCTCCCTCATCTTGATTATAATTCTTTAACCGGTAATAATACTACTGAAACTAGTCCCTTTTTTTCGCCAAATTAATTTTGGTAAGATTTACGAATCGTAAAATACGTACGGAATTTTCAGGAACTAGCTTGAGCTCGAGCAATCTACTGCTTCGTCAAGACATAATCAAAACCCTGAGTTGAAGACCTACCCAAAAACCCTTAAGTTGAAGTCCATATACAGATGGCCATGCATGGTGGTTTATTTGCCAAAGAAGCCAACACGACGTCCGCATTCTCAGCGGTGCCTTGGTGGAGCACCGGCCTCGGATCTCAGCCAGCAGGTTTTCACGATGACCTTTTTGGCCAGTTCAAGCCTGCATCTTCTGCTGTAGACAAGCCATCCAATACAGGAACCCAGCTCACTCCCTCTAGGGAACCAGAACGTAATGGAGGACAAGAAACTGGAAATGGGAAAACTAATAAATTTACCATTTTTTCTGGTAATTAATTTTGTCTTCAATCTGTTATTATTAGTTTTATTTTTTATTTTTTTTGATGTTGTATTCTCTAATTTACTATTTTTGTTCATGCCCTTTGACGTCGTCTGATAGTCAATGAACACAAGACTACTGAGAGACTTTCTACTAGTATACTAGCATACTGAAAAGGAAGAGATTCTTTAATTTATCTTGTTGTGCATGCATACGAGGAGAAAAGTATGTTGAGTACAAGGAGTTACTAGTGTATTTACTTTCCTAAGATTGAGTTGGTGGATATAGAAAAGCACACAACACTTGATGATTTTTTTTTTTTTTTGGTCATTATCACATGTCATACTATTTCTTCTTTTCTTTGTTTTCTTGAAATGTCGTTCACTATGATTTACCAGTCTATAAAGCTTCATCATGTTGCGTGAATTAGTAGGATCAAAGATGCTTTATAAGCGGCCTTTACCCTGTTCTCCTTTTGATATCATGAATTTCACCAGACCTATAAGAAAGATGGAGGAAAAGCAAGACAGAGACTTTAAGGGCTTTATTCAGTATGCTTGCATAAATGGAAACCAGCTAGTATGCTTGACTTTAATTTCATGCAAAACGAAGCAGTAAACTGCAATCAAATCAAAACTTGGTTTGTAGTCACCAAGGCATAAAACATCAGGTTATTGCTTTGGCAGTCATTACAAGGGTTTGGTTATTTATCTTACTGGTATTGCTTTGCCCTTTTACGAAATAAGCATGGAATGCACCTGCTTTGAGTCGTATGTGAATGCATGATTGAGGATTATATTTACTGTTAGCTTTTGCGGTTTTCTCTTCCAAAATTGCGATGTTGAAAACTTGCATCTGTGTAATTATTACATGAACTAAGTTTGAGCGGCTTGTTGGTATAAGTTGTTAGAGACTATGAAATATTGAGGCTAGCAGTTTGGAAAAGCTCCCATGTTTCCATTGATAGTGCAAGAGTGCACTCGTTGTGTCATCTTGCAAAGTTTCAGTTACATGTAGGCATTATCAGCTTGTGTTTATGATCTTCTTTTTCATCTTTCCATGGTACTTCATCCTAGTTCATTGCGCTAGAGATAGAGATGAATTTGTCACAAGCTATGTTGTCTTGATTGTTGCCACTTTTCAATTCTTTGACATATATGATATGACATATATGGTAGAAGGACGCAACTAAAGAAATTGTCTCATTTTTCATATTGGTGGGAGTTGAGCAATGTCCCGCTGCATAATAACTCACTTGTCTCTTGAGGCTACAAAGAATACAGGTTGTTCAATTCTCATCCTAAATGATCTTTCAACTAACTGTCATTCCCTTTTTTCAGGTGAGTGCAAGGATCCTCCAAATGGGCAAAAGTTTCGGCTCCAAAATGCCAGCAACATGCAAGCAGCTGCTGCAGAATATCGAGGGCATTTGGAGCTTGGATTCAGCCAGCCATTGGTATTGTGATTTCAGTGTTTAATTGTAATTATCTTGTTGCTGACTATCAATTTTCTCTGCCTTTTTTGATGATATACATTTGTTTTTCTTCGTGATGGCTCAGATTTGTGCAAAATATCCTTATGGAGAGCAATGTCATAGTGTATTCTCAACTTATGGGCCTCAATTGACTGTATGTATGCTTTAATTTCTGGCTACTAGCTACCTAGAAGAATTAACATATTTCCAGTTTTCTATTAGAACATTTCTCTTCACTTTGCGTTCCTGCAATTGTGTTTTCCATCAATCCGGAGATGCAGCATAAGTAATAAGAAACTATGGAAGGCAGTATTGCATGTCTTTCAAATCTCATCTGATTTTCAGGTGAGTTCACTTTTTGTTAATTTGAGTAGCAGTAGTGAAAAGCCGGAGTCAGCAAGCAAAGTGTGGGAAAGAACAAGTTTTTAGGGTATGATAATTGATGCATATGGATTGAAGAATCAATCTTCCATAGTTTGACTCGATAGTGCAATATGTACATCTAATTTCATAATGACAGTGTTAGAATATTGTTGGATGTCCGCTTGCAGATAAGCACACTCAGACAGGGAAATAACTAGTTCCATAATGAATTGATGCCAAATTCCTTAGGTGCTGCTTGAGTGTTTGGCATCCCAACACAAGCAGAATATATAGAGAAGTCAACAAATACTCTTAGAAAAGTTGAATCCTGTGAGAGCAGCTCTAGGATGTATAACTAGATACATGGATCTCAAAATTTTTGTGATTGAATGGTCATAAACTGCTCTAGATGATCTATCTGGACCATAATCATTTTGAATTTTAAACTTGTGCTCTTAACTTGTTCTGGAAAGCCTTGTTATAATCAGAATGTAACTGGATATGGAATAGTTGGGAAATCAGATTCTTTCAGGGGTACTGCTGTTTAAGGGAATTGAACCATGGTGGTATACTTCTATGAACAGATTAAAGCATCAAAATAGTAAGGCAACCTTTAGGAACAGAGCAGCATCCATAGGACTTGGATCCCTTGGAACAGTCAAATCAATGGTTGTGTTTAACAGACGGAAGTAATTCATCACGAATATGGTAATATATATAGATTGCAGAATAGAATAGAGGAACTCGCTTGGGAGAAGAATTAGATAAAATAGTTGATGAAGTCAACGAAGTGGAACTTGTTCCAAAAAAGAAACACAAAGCATAAATACCAATCGAGAAAACAGGAGACATAATTCTATTGCATTGCTGATTTGTCTGTGAACTTATTGGTTGTTCATCTGTTAGTTACTTCTCATTCCTCAGCACCTTGTGTCATAAAAATTTGTTTTTGTTTTCTTTTAAGTGATCGATACAACTGGATTTCTTGGAGGTTCATAAAATTTGCATCTGTATAATTTCAGGGCCGGATCATGCTGCCGCTGAATTCAACAAGTGATGAAGTGCCATATTTGTTAATGTTAAGCAGTATAATGGAATATTGAGGCGCAGACAGTACCGTGCAAAGGCAGAACTGCAGAATAAAGTGCTGAAAAACCGCAAGGTACATATGAATATTTCTGTTAGCATGTTTCCAATCGAGACAACTGGATTTTTTTTTTTTTTAACATTTCCTTGCATATCTTTAATAATTTAATATACTTGTAAATGCTTGCCTTGGTTTGGTCATCAAGATGATAGCCTTTGGCTCTTACTTCAACATGATTGCCTATACAAGATGTGTTCTTTAGAAATGAACCTTCTGAAAAGATTTTTTCAGCCTCACCTTAATCACAGACTTTGTCCAAATATTCCTGTATGGTTGCTCAATTTGGATTCTGCCTCATGCCTTGCAGCCATATCTGCACCTGTCACGTCATCTCCATGCAATGCGCAGGCCAAGAGGTTGTGGCGGCCGCTTTCTCAACACTAAGAACCTGAATGGCAGTAAGAGTAATAGTGATGACAATACGACTGCAAAAGGACGATTTTCTCGACCGACAGGATCCCAGAGCTCCGATGTCGTGCAGTCTGATAGTGGAAATTCAAGTTCACTGAGAAAAGCTAATGGCTGCAGGTCAAATAATTTGGGTACAGAGGTTACTAGCGTGTACTCCAGGGGAGATCTTGATCTTTCCATTTAACAATCTATCCTCAGCAATTCAGTCTCTGCCTAATATGATGACTTCAGGGCATTGGATTGTCCCGCCAGGCAAGTGGGTTGTAGCTGCAGATAGCTGCTGCAACCTGAAAGTTTGATGGCAGGATGCAAATGGATTTGTGTCCAATTTTCCTGGCCTCAAATCCCATTTTGCAACCAAATGGAAACTCCGGTTCTACCACCATTTGGTTTGCTTCCAAAAGGCAACTCATTCTTGGCTTATCAGCATTAAGGCCATCTCTGTTGTATTCCGTGCTCTCCAGCAATTGGAATAATCAGAGGCTCCCAGGCCATAATGCAGTGTAAAATATTGAACTTTATGTAATATGATTGGTTCTGTTCCCACTGCTTAAATAACTGGAAAGACTTGTGTGCATACTTTGAAGTGTGCTTCTGGTGTTTGAATTTTGTGGTTGATCTGGAAGTTTTGATTCTCTGAGAGAGTGAGAATCCTGAATCAATTTGTAATGTTCTAATTTCCCTATTGCCGAAATAAGATCAGAGTAATTGGATGGTTTTGACCCAAAAAAAAAAAAAAAGAAAGTAATTGGATGGTCGTGTTTGCTAAATTTTGCTCCTGTTGGTAGAGCCTGAACTTTTTATGATCGCGTCTAGTCATGGGCTTCGGCCTGGATTTGGACTTTGCTATACGTGCAGCATTTGCTGTATCAATCAAATCGTTCCTTTTGGAGCCATTTGCAGATTCCCCACGAAGGACGCTTATTGTTGAATCTTCCTCATCTGTCCCCAGATTTTCCAAGACACATTTATCGAGATAGATGGTTAGCATCCGTTTTTGTATTTTGTTTTTTTTTTCAACAGTTTCACCTTCGAAATTGCATGTTGTCCATCAGATCAATTAACCAAGAAATTGAGATCGTAGACTGGTAGATATGTATAGTTGTACTTGATTTTGCGCCTCCTGTGAAATATGTTTATGGTAGTTAATTTTCAGTTCCTCCAATTAAGAAGGACGAAAAGAGAGGTAGATGATCAAATTCTAGTTTGTTGCAAGAAGGTAGACGGAAAGGTGCTGGAATCAGAAAATCTGCAGCAATAATAGCAGCGATGATGGGAACGAAATCATAAAAAATCAGAAGCTAGCACAAAATTTCACCACCTTGTTAGCTTCGATATCCTCTCTGCGAAGCCTGGATTGGAAGAGAAGTAGCTGACCTTGAGTTTCTCTCTTTGCATGAGGCTACCATTAGGCCTTCCCCAGTCACTCAATCTTACATCATATAAATATGACGACTTCTTCAGCAGCAACACATCGTCGAGGAAGAGTACACATGCATGTAAGCAAAAATGAAGAGTGGCGCAGGAGCGAAACTGTTCATCATGGATCTTGCTCAGGTCTTGATTCCATCTCAGAGTTTCCTAGAAAAAGTTCATGTGAGGATGGACGTTTATATGCTTCTGGAAATTGGCAGTTCATGCCCTTTGAAAATGCTTAGACCTTTTTTTTTTTTTTGGGTTTCAGACATATCCTATTGTATTCTCTATTTTGAGAATTTAGGATCCTATAAAATCCGAATGGCAGTACCTTTTTTCTTTTTTGCTTCTTTTTTTTTTGGGTTAGACTTGCACATGCTCTGGAATACCTGAAAACTTTTCACATGCAGTGGCAAGATTTTGCCCCTCCTCTTTATAATGTGAGCAATAGTAGTAATTGTTTTGCCATTTTGTTCTTATTCAATTGGCTTTATCAGTAAAAGTATGTCATGCATAATTAAATCGTAAACATTTGGTAAGGGAAAATGGGGAGAGAAAAGGGACTTCCTTTTCTTTTGATGAATTTATTTGGAACCATGAAAATACGTCGCGGCCAATGTTTTAGTTGAATTCTCATCCCAATTTCCTTGCCCTCCTAAAGCCAGCACTTCATTTCATCTACAAGAAAAATTCATAACCACCAAGCTATCAACAACGTCAGAGTAAAATTGGGAGCGCGACTTACCGTGGTCTTGAATCCAATTTTCGGCCTCTAATCTTGTATCCTTCTCCCCTTATCTGTTATCCCTTTCAAGGAAGTCTAAAGCCCCAGCCTTATTCCATTGATCGAACAAACACAATACTGCTACTGCTAATTTTTTGCCAAAAAAAAAAATGTCAGCTTCTTCTCTATCAGTGGCTGTTGCCACTGCCATTGCCAACTCTTCTTCTTCCTCAATCCCATCATCATCTTCTTCCCTAGAACACCTTTCTCTGTCCACCATTCACTTCCCTTCAAGCCCACAAAACCCATAAACTTTTGCAGGGTTAATCACCTTCTAAATTCTGCTCCTGTTCCTCAGGTCTCTCGCTCCCTACTTGTTTGTGCTTCGACTGCTTTTGATGCTTTTGATGCCATCCAAAGCACACAGGTCCTAGAAGAAGAAGAACAAGAAGAAGAAGAAGCAGCAAGAAATACAAGACGTTGAGGATGAAAATGATGGGGATACAGCTGCTGTATCTCTATCAACTGAAGGTCGTAGATTATACGTGGGAAACTTGCCTTACGCGATGACCTCTTCCCAATTAGCTGATATCTTTGCTGAAGCTGGCCGTGTTGCTTCTGTTGAGGTCTATTTTACCTTTTCTTGATTCTTTAAATTATAAAAGATTACTTTTTGGATTAGATGTACTCGACCAAGAATTCAGTTTTCTGCTGTCCTGGCACTTCATTACATATGTAATGTTGATTGGGATTTCAAAGTTTGTACCTTTGTTGATGGGAGATTGGAGGTGGTGCTGATTTTTGGTTTTTTTTTTTTCCTGGATTTGTGTGTTTAAGATTGTTTATGACAGAGTGACGGATAGGAGTCGAGGATTTGCATTTGTTACAATGGGGAGTTTTGAAGAAGCAAAGGAGGCAATTCGGCTGTTTGATGGATCTGTAAGTGACCTTATGGCGATTCATCTGACCATTTCGTTACTACTACTACTTGATTTGTCTCGTCGATTGTTTGAGCGTTTTTCGTCTGAGACCTTGTTGGCTTTACTTACCAGTTATCTGATTTAATGGATAATGTGCAATGTTACGTAGTTCATTGGAGGAAATTTAGTTGAGGTTGAATTAAGTTCCCTCAGAAGGCAGACAGAAAACATCTTGTGTTCAACTATGGAAATGGATAATATGCTACTGGTATTGTTTAAGGTTGGATACTAGATGCTTTATATTAGGACAACTTGCACACTCTGTGCTAATCATTGATCTTCTTTTATTTAGTGTAAAGTCAGCTTGTTGGACCTTTCTCAACCAGATAGCTTATGGTTAGCAAATTCTGTGAGCGTTTCATGTCAATTAGTACGAGCATGATGTTGCTCCTGCTTGGGCAGTCACCAATTCAAAGGATAATTTGTGTTCTTGACCAGATAATTATCTCTGGGACGAATTGAGGAGGTTTAGTTATAGTGCCTTCAATTTTTCTTGTTTTCTATCAGTCCTCCCAAAAATAAGTGTGCATAACTTATAAACTTACGATAATTAAGCGTCTACTTGTCACAGAATGAGATAAAGAGTTGGGGGTGGCTGGGGGACACACTATTACATGTATAAAATCTCTTACTGAAGTCATTGCAGAGGTTTTTATTACTCCCCAGAGAAGATGATGTACAAAACCATCAGCTCCCATTGATGATTGACATTTTTGCCACTTCTAACGATGTAAACTAAATGTAGTGGCTTTGCTGCTTCGGAAGTAGCTGATAGCCGTTCTTTTCTTAATTTGGCGTATTGTAATAATTATGACAGCAAGTTTGGGGGCCGAACTGCAAAGGTGAATTTTCCTGAGGTGCCACGAGGAGGTGAGCGAGAAGTCATGGAGTCAAAGATCAGAAGCAGCAACCAGGGATTTGTAGATAGCCCACATAAGATCTATGCAGGAAACCTAAGCTGGGGTCTAACCTCTCAAGGCCTCAGAGAAGCTGTCCAAGACCAGCCAGGATTCTTGAGCGCCAAAGTCGTCTATGATAGGGATACCGGAAGATCCCGAGGATTTGGATTTATTAGCTTTGCGTCCGCTGAAGAGGTGGATTCTGCACTTGAGGCCATGAATGGAGTGGTATATCAACGTTAGATTGAGATTGCATGCTTCATGTTTGTCACATCCTTTCTTACGGAATTCATTTTGTGTGATTTTGTAGGAGGTGGAAGGCCGGCCTCTACGGTTAAACTTGGCACAACAAAGATCTTTCATATCTCCTCCTCCAGCACCTGAAACAAATTCTGAGCCAGATAGTTAAAGCAGCCTTAGTGTTTTGTGTTATTAGCTACTAAGAGGGGTGGATGAATTAGTATTGCCATACCCTTGTGAGGGGATGATGTGGAGTGGAGGAGGCCAGCAAAACTGCCGTAGAGACGATTGAGTCCAATTTTGTTCCCTGCTAAAGTTCCGATTCACTTGTATCATGGCACAGACGGAAGCCAAAGATGCCTAGAGAAGGACATTGTTTAATGAATATTAGTGTTGTACTTTCAGATAGCCTTAAATTTTCGTTTTGCGTGATTAGCGGAAGACTACGGGTACAATTTACGACCAGTTCTTTCCGTCAAATTTCAAGTTCTTCACACACTCGTGATTTTTAAACAGCTATAATGAGAAAATTCGGTGGAAAGATGATCGTATGATATCGAAATAACCATGCGGGAGTGCCGTGATAGACACTTTCATTGATCGACAGGATTCTATGAGAGGACTACTGGTGAAATCTAGGAGATGGTATAGAATAATCAAGAGACAGACTCGAGAACAAACAGAGATTTGGCTAATAGCGTAACACTAATCAATTAATGCCGTTTCATGACCCTAATCGTATGGTTCGCAGAAGATGAAGGACGGGGAAATCTCTGCAGTATACGCTGCCAATGGAACGAGACCGATAAGGCCAGTCGCATGCTGAGAGACCGATAAGGCCATCATATTTGAGCTTCCCTCCCTTCGGGAACATTAATTTATCCACTTTTGAGTACGAAGATACGTACAAGGTAAAGAGTACCAAGTGAAGAAGCATTTTTCAACGGCATCTTATTCAAGTTCAGAGCTTAAAAATCCCTCAACATAGAACGTCAACCAAAATGAAGAGAAGCATTAATAGTTGGAACTGGATTCGGCTAATGTTCCAAGGTAAAGAGTACCCAGTGCCAGTTGTTTTGGCGTTCTCAATAAATCACAGCCTCAGACAAATACGAAGGAAAAACAAAACTAAAGATAAACCTCTCCGGTAGCTTCTCTTAAGCTAAACACGCTGTGATCTTTCAGCAGTATCATGACCAGCAAGAAGTGCGTCTGCTGCAGAGTCAACGTCTTGAGGGAAGAAAATCCTGATTACATCCGATGTCTCAAGCTTCAGATATCAAACAAAAACCATTTTTTGCAGGGAAACTTATAGGGCCCGGGCAGCATACTGGCTTATCAAATGACCTAATTATCACCTTCTAATATTGCTCATATAATTCACGCAAAACAAAATTGTTTATGTCTCAAGAAAGTGAAAATCCAGTAAAAGGCATTTTTAGTCCATTGGTTTTGAACGAACATGAGAAATGTCATCAAAATTACCTGCAAGTGTTGTGGTACAATTTCTTGCTCAATTGATCTATGTCAGCAATACCTTTGCAGCCAGCGACCACCTCAAGCACTTGCCTGAGATTATTGATTATTCTTTAGTCAGATGAAATATTAGAGGGAAAAAAGAAAAACTAACGACCATGAATCTACTCTTTGGTAGGCTAGCACAGCTTGCTGAATGAATCAAGAAAAAAAGATGGCTATATGTCATAACGGCAGTACTTTTTTCTCACCAAGGACTTGGTAATTTTCTCTCTTCTTAGTAATTGATAGGAGAAACTGATGAGTCATGTACCAGTTATTTCAAGATGTGAATAGATTTTAATATTTCTACTGGAGGAATTTCCAGCTAGCAAAGGAAAGAAAAAGAGATCTCAAGAATCATGCAAGTTTTGTCATCATATAAGGTTTCGTCCTACTTATGCATGTTCACCCAGTCCTTGGTGAGAAAAATACTGCTGTTATGACATATAGCCATCTTTCTTTCTTGATTCGTTCAGAAAGTTGGGCCAGCCAACCAACGAGTACAATGTGACACTTCTAAGAGCTACATCAGATGTAACATCCATTACCACATACCGTACCGTACAGGGTTCATTTCGACCTTTGATGGCGTAGTCTGGATCATGTTTTTCTTTCTTCTTGGACGGCCATGAGGTTTTCACAAAATTAATCCCTGCATGAGTATTTTTTATTTCACAATATGGAGAATCTGTCTCGATCATCATTCGCTCCATCGGTATGCCCTTAACAACATCAAGATTCTCAACTGTCTTCAGTGAGCAACCATTCACGCCTTCAAGATACAAAAAGAGAAAAGGCAAGGAAAGAAAGAAAAACCATAAAGATTGATTTGACGTCACTAACTCCAAATGTTAAAGTATGAAGAAAAAGCTTAAAGAGCATAGGAAGTAATCAGAGAAGAGCATTCACCTATAAAAATATTACTGAATGAAAGAAGTTTATCACGCTCTTCTGCACTGCCTGTAAAGGAGTGAGCAACCCCACCGCAGAACCTAAACAGATATGTGATTGAGTACAGAGCACAAGTAAAATAGCTTTGGACTAACACAACAGAAGCAAGTCATAGGAATTATGGCTGAGCTTCCAATTAAAAATTAGTTAGCTAGGAGAAAGATGAGAAACAATTTCCTATGTTATGAAGCATGGGGCCTTAAGACTTTAAACAAGTTACCAACAGTTCCTTGCGTTTACTAAGGCAACTAGTGTTATCGAAGCCTCATACTAATTCAACATTTCTTTAAGAAAAGATGAATATTTTAAAGATCCAACCCAATGTTCATCTTGAAATCTAACATGACTCGCTGTGATGGTAAATAATGAGTATTTACAGACCATCTTTGGCAGTTGATTGGTGCAATATACAACAACTACAAATACGCAAATTAATCAGATACTAATGCTTTTGATTCTAATTTTAGTAGTTAAGAAAATTTACCGCTCCTTATTTCTCTCCAGAATGGTACAAAAGTCCTCAGCAGCTGCTCGCATGTGAAGAAACATTGGAAGCCTCATTGCGTGAGCTAGTTCAAACTGCTTCTCAAAATATCTGTTTCGACCAGAACAAAAGACAGACAACTGGAACCATAGAATCAGTACGTCATTATACACCTAAACCACGACAATGAATAAAAGCAGCATTTTTCATTGACCCTCAATACACCTCTCAGACTCATCAAGAATTAAAGGGGAAGAAAGGGGGGAGAAAAAACTAATCTTTGAGGCAAGCACATACTTCTGTTGAATCTCAGACGGGCAAAAATGAAGCCTGTCATAATCCAGTCCACATTCACCAATTGCCACCACCTTACAAAAATTAAATTGTCGCACTAAGAAAATTGAGGAAGATATATGTACCTATAGTAATCTTCTCTATGTTCTCCTAAATCCAGCACTTTGGTTTACCTTTCCTTTCTCAACCCCCTCTTTAGCCAGTGAGAGAAGAGACTGAAAATGCTTTTCGGGATCCCCACTCTCATCAAATTCCTGAATCAATTATCAAGGTATGACAATCACAAATGTATCCATGCATCCTCATTCTCACACATTCAATAACTTAAGGATGGCATCAAGAAGAGTATCAACACTCACTTTGCATCTTGTTGGGTGCACGCCAACCGTGCAAAAAAGTCTTGCTGCAAGGGAAAATGGATTGCCAAGAATATAGGGTATAAGGCACCAAGTGAGAGACAAATAGCAGAGAAAGGAGAAAAATGTAACAAAGGAAAACGTGTCTCACTAACCATCAGTTTCAGCAATAGCAAGAGCTTCTTTTGATTCCTCTAGAGATCCACCAGTAACCTAGGACAGAAAACGTAAGACAACTAAAGAATCATTTAGTATGATTAGGCCCGATTACAGAAGGCAAATAACCAACCTTACCAACAAGAAATAAACCTCTCAGTTCTGTTACTCCAATAAAACGGAATTAATTACAAATCAGACAAGCTCATCCATCCTCTATGATATCAAAACAAGAGGTTGAACTTCTCCAAAAGTGGAACTTCATCAAACGACCCAAAGTTCATATCCTCTCGATTTATTGAGCAAGCCAAACTATCAGACAGCCTGAGTTAATAATACCATCTATCTAACTCCAAGCAGAGTTTCATTTTGCGGGACCGCTGATACTCCTTTCCCAACCCCCAGCAAAAAAAAAAAAACCCTGCTAATGTGCTGCAAACTTATCCTTTGCAACGAGCTAATAACAATACCAACCAGAAAAATAGTCCCACGAGACATATCCCTATGAAAAAGATCAGAGTTTTGTTCAGGGATATATCCTTACAATAATTCGATCAACACCGGCGCTCCAAGCCCTGCTGAGTACTGCAGAAATATCTGCCACATGGTATTTCTTGCCGTTGTATATTCCTTTGAACATACCATCTGTAATTGAGATTCATTTATCCATTGAAATTAGATTTACTCAAAAAACTATGTGCCAAAACAAAATGTTTTAACATGAATTAAGATTTGACATACCAGTGAGATTGACTGCTATATCTGTTCAAGTTAAAATCCCACAAACACTATATCATTAAACATGATTAAAATGATTCGGTGCTTTATTCAAGACAAATACAGAAAAGGGTTACTTGCCAATCATTCGGATGGTCGCCATTTGTGAAAGTTGGAGCCTTTTTGGGCGCCTGTCTGCCTGAGAGTCCGACTGAGATGAATTGGAACAGCAAATGAAATGCTAGTGCCTACTGCCTAGTATGGTATGGTTAGAAGCGGCGTGGGAGGGCCTCAAATATGCGTCAAGCGGTATCGAAAGATGCGTCAAGCTTCAACCCGCTTTCAGTGCTCGTTAAGAAGCGGTTCCTTACAATCATGGGCATCAACTATGAAGGGTTGAAAAATGAGGGTTCATTACAATTTATTCTCCTTAAGCATGCCTGATTCTCACTTTACCCCTGACTTTTTATTTTGTGTCACTCAACCCCTGAGAGACAAAACTACTGCTCTTATTTTTTCCTCTCTCATCTTTTTCTAATCAAAATTATTTTTTTTTAATTTTATTTTTAAGCAAATCAAAATTTTCTCTAACAAAAAATTAAGGATGTTGATTCTTTAATTTACAATTGTAAATATACTAAATATGTTTTTCTATATAATTAGTTAATTATTAACAAATTTCATCTATTTTCCAATAGAACAATTTATTATTTTATTTTCTTATAATTAGAAAATTCAAAGTCAATTACTCATTTTTTTATAATCACATATTCATATGTCAATATTTAGATTTTTTCATTCTTTTCCCTCTAGTTGATTTTTAATTATTAGGGTTTTTTGCCTTTAAAAAAAATCAATTATTGATGTATACCCTAATAAACATACTCCTTTAATGAGAAACTTTACCACCATCAATTAGAGTGGTTAAAATTAAACCACATGTTAAATTTCAATGGAAAAATGAAGTAAATTATTTAAAAAATAAAAACTTAGTATAGTAGGAGGATATTTTTGTCTCTCAAGTAGTTAAGTGACACCCAAAAAAAAGGTAAATCAAGAATTGAGGTATACCTTAAGTGATAAATTGTAATTAACCCCAATTAATTAACTTTGTCAATAGTTTGACATTTCAAACGAGCTTAGAATTGAGTTTGATATCAATACAGTTGAGCTCCAATCAATTTTTATTAAACCAATCTAGAGTTTGTGTTGCACGTAGGAATATCTGATATGAGTTGTTGGAGTTTAATGTTTTTCAATACCAAATTTATACTTAGAAAACTAATTAAACGTCAAATATTGGTATGAGTGTGAGGATCCGAATTTTTTTTACTTACTTTAATTCTATTTCACTAGTTTATTTAAATATTTATTCACCCGTTTTCTCTGAATAATTTATTTCAACCATTTTAACTCCATTTATATGGAACAATGTCTTACTTATATTTTTAAAACGTCTCGTTAATAAATTTAATTTTTCGGAGGTTCGTTTAGTAAGGAATAATAAGTACACGTTTTTTGAGATAAAATTCGATCCGAGAATGCAATAATTTTGGAGATTTGAGAACTCGTATTTATTCTTAAAATAGTTATTTTTATAATTATTTACCTTAGAGTTAGTTAGTTATATCATTGTTACATAAATTTCTTGTAAGTTTCGCTTTATTGCGCCCGAATCGGAAGTTCACGTAAATCGAGTCGGAACGGTAAATGAAGATTTAAGAAACCTATACTAGACTATTAAGAGTGAATACTTCTCTTCTTCATTTCAGCCGACCAAACAGCAAGAAAAAGAAAGGAAGAAAAGCTTCCACCATTCTTGCACCAATCTTCCTCCATTTCATCTCAAACTTTGCATCCAACTCACAAATCACTTGAGAATTTACTTAAGTTAGAAGAAAGACTTCATCTTGGTGGTTTTTTCGGAGCTTTTGTGCCAAAAAAATTTATGGTTTCTCTCAAAGTTAGGGGGTAACCATCCAACACCATCCAATCTTTCATTATTGGCTTTAATGGGTTTTATCCTTGGCTTTCAAGCTTGTAACTTCATTATTGTTGTTATTACTTGGATTGGATTGGTTGAAATGGGTTCTATGAATTCCCATTTTAGTTGTATGGACTGATATGATAATATAATGCTTGGTTTGAGTTGTTTAAGTGTTGTTTAAGATGATTATGGATAGAAAATCGAAGGAAATTGCGCAAGGATGCTGGCCGAAATCTGTTCTGTCTTGCCTTGTTTATATTTCAATTTTTTGGTGCTCAAATAACTGTGAAACTGATGTATATATGTTGCATATAGTGTGTAGAAAGTTTCTACCAAAAATCATTTGAATTGGTTGAGCAAAACATGAAATTTCAAAATTTAATCAAATCTGGAAACTGTGTTCGGACAGCTTGAACAGTGTCCCTTTGATCGAACATATCTCTTTGTACAAACGTCAAAATCGTTCTTTGCCTTAAATTCAAATAAGCTCCGCGTCGCCGTTTACGGCATTTGAAATTAGATATTTATAGCTTTCTAACGGTATAAATGTACCATCTAGTTCGAACTGAGTGATCCGTAGTGATTCACCAAAGTTTTTTGTTCTGTTCTGCTATTCTATTCGAATGACTGTGAGAAGCTATGACTTGTCGCTTGAATTCGAACTAGCTATGAATTGATTTTCAGAACGACTTCTTCTGATGAAATATAGTCTTTTGAATCTAGTTTCTAACGTTACCAACCATTCTCAATTTCAAGTTGTATTGAGTGAGATATGGTTCAATTTTCAAACTGCAACAAAACTGAAAAACCCTTCTTTTTGCTGGCCGACTGGTTTAGTTGTTTGTGAAATGTTTTATTTCGAAAATTTGATGTCAACCAACTATAAATTACTTATGAAATGTTCTTTGGATTTTGGTTTCACAAATGAATCAAAATGAGACTGATTTCATGATGCAAAATATTTGAAAAGGGAAAAAAAACAAGAATACAGATTTGCTTTGGGAATTTCTTGAACTTTGGTAGTTTTGTTAACTATCTTTCCATACGAGTTTTTAGGTAAAATTTGATAGAGAAGTAATCCTCCTGTGGAAGTTGAATTGTACCAAATTTGGTATTATTCTAAGATCATTTCGATACCCAAATGGTGTGCCAAAGTTATTCTTCAAGTCTGGAAAATTTACTGAACTGTCTTCAGTTTTGGCCAACTTTGAGCTTCTATATTTTGGCAGTCAAAACTCCGAATTTAGTTTCATTTGTTGTGTTTGAAATCTTGATTGAAATTCTCATTGTGTTACAAATTTCATAAACTAGTTCACTTTCTTGTAAATTCTGTCGAATTTTCAAAATTTACCGAACAACAAGACTAAAACTGCCTTGTGTGCTTATATCAGCCATTTTGAGTTGAAATTTGAATGTCTTCCTTTTAAAATATTGAAAAAATGTTTTCTAGGAATTTTTATTACTTTGGATCTAGTTTTCAACGATACTAAGTTTTCTAATTTTGGACCTATTGATTGCAAGATTTGATTTTTCTAAATTTGACGCGCAAAGCTGAAATTTGCCAATTTCTTAGAAAATGAAATTTTGAAAATTTGACTTCTTATCTTGATATTGGTATATTGTTTTGAACCCGATTATTTGGGGAATACGAGTTTCTTTAATAACTTTAAAATTTTCACTTTTAAATCTTGACTTTCGATAAAGTAAAGTCTTATAAGGACATTGACTTGAATTTTAAAAATTGTGTGCATTTTTCCTTATTTAACAATAAATTTGTGAAAATATGTGAGAGTGATTATTGGTCGTTTTCTTCATGCGATCAAGAATGTTTTGAAGAGAATTCCGAAACGGATCATTAAAGATCTTTTGCACTTACTCTCTTATTGTGATTTGGTGAGTGTCAAATGCATAAATTGTTGATAAATGCTTTAATTGTTAATTGAGTATTGTGAAATTGTTGAGACGAATGTGTACTTTATCACACTCGTTCTCCTTAAGTGATGCTACAATTGAATTGTGCTATGTGAATCAAGTGAAATGTTGCCATTGCAAATTACATTTGTGTTGACTCGACATCGATCGAAGTAAATCTTATCAACAAATCATATTTTACTCGTCGGGATACCCTTGTCCTTTCTCTCTTTGAACTACGTGATATTTAAGATCTAAATACATATGATTTGATAATTGTACATGAACATGTTTAACTCGTGAGTTCTGAGCGGAAGCATGTACCACACCGATTCGAGTGGGATGTGCCTCTCATATCGTCTCAGTGCTATAATCAGTTCCCTGAGCGACAGTATATACCACACCGATTTGGGTGAGAGGTATCTCTCATGTCGATTTAGAACCATAAACGTATAATCGATTTCTTGAGCGATAGTATGTACCACACCAATTCGGTTGGGAGGTATCTCTCATGTCGACTCAGAACCATAATTGAAAAAATGAAATTTTACGGAGTTGATTACCTACTCAGATGACGAAGTGTCATTTTGAGGAGGTATTTGATTGAATTTTGACAAAACAAGTGAAAATTATCTCTTGAGAGCTCCTGTATCCTACTCAAGTGTGTTTAATTGTTAATCGCAAATTACTTGAAATTTATAGTTTTATTTATTGTACAAATGTTATTGTTATTTGAACTATTCGCTTGCATGTCTTTCTTGACTTCATTGGGCGTCAACTCACCCCATTAGTTTTGTTTTTCTTAACAGAGTCGGATTGAAAGATTTAGAGAAAAAAGCCGATTTGATTGCTTTTGATTAGAATCATGGGATGTAATTGACTAGTCGAATTATAATGATTGTATATTTTGGAAATGTTGATGTACTTTCGAGAACTGGTGATGTAAGACTTGAAAGTTTATTTAAGGGAGCGAAGTTTCTCTATTTGGACTTGTATTATCGGGTATTATTTTTAAATTTGAATTTAAATTGTACCGAGTACTGACAAGAGTTAGACAGGCATCCCGCTGATACCCTTTGATTCGTTTTAGGGAGAAATGTGAGGCGTCACAATGAGCATTTTTGGATGATGGGCCAACTGCCAAATGAATCTCCAAACTTTAGCACCTGCTTGATAAAACTAAAAGTCCCAAGTCTAAATTTTGAAATTTTGAAATTTGAGTGTGGAAAATATTGAGCCGGTGAAGTAATAATTAATATCTTTTTGATAACTAATTAAATTTAACTACCAAATTTAAATATCAATCAAAATAATAATATTTTTTTTAAATATGTCTTTACTTGTGTATATGGGATAGTATTGTTGTGTGTGAGAGAAAGAGAAAGAGGAATGTATGCTAGGATAAAAAGTCTATATTTATGCATCATATCCAAAACCCATCTTAACTAACAGGAATATTAATCAAATGACTATGAGGT